CATGATCCATCTAAGTAACGCCAGGAGCTCTCTCACACCCCTCTTTAGGGTATTAGCCCTCAACATAGATCAGCCCTTCACGTTTGGGTCAACTCTCGTGCCCCATTTGGAGGATAAAACGACCTATTTGGTCCTTCTGCTTCACCCCGCTACATAACCCTCCCTCTGGGTCCTCGGTAAATGTTTTTAAAAAAACATCACTGATGGAACACAACCTCCAGGTAGGTCAGAGAAGGCCAGTTAGTGCAAGAGAGTTGCAACCCGCTTAAATGTACTGTCCTGGGTCATATCTGCGAGCTTGTACAAATATGCAACATTATTTATGAGCTTTTGCCTTTACACTTGAGCTCCATTCACACTGTTAGCGATTCAAATGCTGCATGTCGGCGAGTCTCTACTGTTGGTCACTGGTTGGCAGATTCTTCTGTGCTCCCGTTGATAGTCAGCTCATCACACTGCTGCCTGTTTGCAAGAGTTTAACTCTTCTGAACTTGGAAAGCCAGTGGTCACTGTCACTCATGATGCTGCCAATTGAAAATTTAATGACTTAGGTCACTTTGTCTGCAAATCGCTGTCAGGATGAAAGCTCCTTTGCAGGAAACTCAAGAGAGATGAAGAAGCAGAGGGTGAGAGAGGGAGGGAATGGGATCAGGAGCTAAGACAAGTCAGATTTTAACCTGTCAGAATATGCACTGTATATTCTCTGAGAATATTTATAACAGCATTTTTCTTTTAAAGGGGTCATATGATGTTGCTAAAAAGAACATTATTTTGTGTATTTGGCATACTTAAAAAATGTTTTCTATGTATTTTTTATTATTTATTTGTTCAAGGTTTATATACTACATCAGCACACCAGTAGGTGGCAACAAGTGAGTCATTCACTCAACTGAATTAATTTGGTCATAACATTGATTCATTCAGGAATGCCACTTTTATTTTTTTCTAATTTATCAATTTTATAAAAAATATTATTACTATGTTGTTGTTCTTGTTTACACTTTTTATTATTCTGGTTTATATTTAGGATATTTTTACATTTATATTTAGACTATATTTAGATCATATATACCAACAGAAAATTGCTAATTGTTTTATTTGTGAAAACAGGGATGGAATTCTTGTTACTTAAAATATTTGATTATTGATGGAATCATAATTCCAATTTCCAATTTCCTAAATTTCCTCATTTTTGAACGCAAATTGGTGAATAAAATATTCAGTGTAACAGGATCTTTTTATTTCACCTTGTTTAAGTTCTATTTGACCTAGCGTTAAGTGGAATAAATTCTGAAGAGCGTGTTTAAGAGCTTGTTGAAGTTGATTCAGTGATGCTCTCAGACTACAAATGCCTCAACAAAGTCAACATAATTGTTATTATTCCACTCATGCTTCCATTTCAGAAGCAAATGATTTGAAATGAAAAAGAATATACTAACAAATATTAAGGTCATGTTCCTTCACGCATTACAAGATTTTGAGAATTATGCCTTTAGTATTGTCCCTTTCTTACAAAAAAAAATTAAAAAGAGACCCAAGAGGGGGCATTAACCAATTCATCAGAAAATAAATTATAATTTAGGACAATTCACAGAGCTTTCTGGCATAGACTTTTGGCCAGAAAACAGCCAGAGGAGTCAACAAGTATTTAGCCTACACTGTCCAGTTTGTGATTTCCAGAGGAAAGCTCCTACAGGATGCCTCTAAATAATGCCTCCTATCTGTCTTCCCCAGCAAAACATAAATTTGCCTCAGTGGCATAGTTGTCTTTGTACCAACTCTAAGTACACTTCTGGGGAGATTTGAGAATTCCCTGCAACATAGTGCCTCTCTTTAAACTGCTCACCAGCGCTGTGTCATACAGGCTTGTATCCTACTAAGAGATTTGCAGCTGTCCTTATTAGCTGTTACGAACAGGAGATGAGGAGACCAGCACTCAGGTTCATCTCACTGGTGAATTATTGATAGGTCTTCGTTCGTTCAGACTGGATGGTGGGTGCTGGTGTGCTTGTCCAAGAATAGATGCTCTCTGAGTATGTTGAAGACCACAGACTGCACCACCAACCTTAGGAGTCTCATCTGTTTGAACCCATCAATGTCAGAATGAATCTGTCAGGTTTGCTTACTCTGCTGAAGATATTAGCTTAGGAATTTTCATGCTAGCTTATACTGGTTAATGCTACTGCTGGTGGATCAGCGTAGCCAAATTTAGCTGGTTAAACAAGTTCAAAAAGCCTGCTGGAGACACCAGAATACCCTGATGATGGAAAGATGAAGCTCAGATGTTGCTTAAGGAAACTTAAAGGAGTTTTAAATTTAGATATCAATTTTTACTCGAATGTTGCTTCTAAAATGTTCTTAGGAGAAACAAAAATGGACACATATGCTGAATATTTGATCAACAGAAATATTTGCATTTGTACTAAGATCTCTGTCTATTGTTTGCTGGTATCTTGAGCAGTTTGAAATATTTTTGAGAACTCATCAGCAATTTTATCGGAACCATGTGAGATAAAAGAAGATAAAAGTGAGTCAGGGCATAAAAGTTAGGTGATAAAATGATCTCAGGATAAAAAACCTGAGAAATCAGTGACTTTCTCCTGGAATTGCTGTCTAAGAAAAACAATTGAGATATTGTGGTTTTTCATTGCTGGTGGCCTCACTTTGTTTTCCGACACCAGTATTTGAAATCCACACTCATCCTCCATATGTCAAAGTACTTTTCTCTGTAAGAATTGTCTGAAGGTTGAAAGAGACAGGGAGAGTAGCGTTATAAAGAGATGGGCAAACAAATGTATCTCATAACTCATAAAACATCACCAACAGCTGCAAACGCAGGAGAGCTGCACAGAAGCAGGTCATTCCTTGATCTAGATAAGACAATGTGCTGGCCTATTTGTTGGTAGTCTCTGGAGGTAGGGTGCATAACGGAGGAGCCAGGGAGAAAGGGAAGAAGGGAAAAACTTCACCACTATCATTGATAAACTGTATTTAACCTGCTTTGTTGTGACCTGCAATTGTTGTGTTCTTGATGTTCTGGTTTACTTTTTGTCTGTGATTATATATGTGCTACCATTCAAAAGTTTAGGGTCAGTTAAAAATGAATACTCTATTCAGCAAGTGTGCATTGATCAAAAGGAACAGTAAAGACGTTTATAATGTTCTGTTTCAAATAAATGCTGTTCTTTTGAACTTTATATTCATCAAGGAAGCATGAAGAAAATGTATCATGGGTTTCCACAAAAATATTAAGGAGCACAATTATCTTCAACGCTGATGAGAAATGTTTCTTGAGCAGCAAATCAGCATATTAAAATGATTTCTGAAGGATCATGTGACACTGAGCCGGAGTAATGATGCTGAAAATACAGCTTTGCCATTGCAGAAATAAATCAGATTTTAAAATATACTAAAATAAAAAAATAGTCAATATTTTAGTCAATATTTCACAGTATTACTGTTTTTACTGTACTTTTTATATTTAAAAAATAATAATAATAAGGCTTGGTTAGCATAAGAAACTTTATTCAATATCATTAAAACTTTCTTACCAACCAAACTTTTAACAGAAATTTTCCACTAAGGTAAAAGATGTGTGACAGACACTGAAGGCTTTCCGCTAGATGTTGCAGGGATTTTCTCGGCACTGAGGTCAGAAACTGATGTTCCAATTCATCCCAAAGGTGTTCAGTGGAGTTCATGTCTGGGCTTTGTGCAGGCTAGTCAAGTTCTTCACACTCGATAAACACATTTTACTAGTGCCATCCTATGGCAGTGCCATGTGAAAAATCACTGAGCTGTTCGGTACACTCTATTCTACTGAAAATGCTTGTGTAAGAACATTGCATGGGTGTATGCTTGATTTTATCTGCATGTTAGTGAAGCTCAAATAATATGTGATTGTCCATTTTGTGCATGTGTGCAGGAAACATCATATCTGACCATTGTGTGTTTTCTTCTTTTCTCTCTTTTACAATGTGTTTACCAATTATTATGACATTTGCCACACTTCAACAGTGTTAATTAGAAATATATTATTTATTGGGGTCCCCCCAGAGTCATTAATGAAATCCACAGTTTGTGGAAATTGATTATTTATATTCAATGTTTAGTCCACACCAATTAAACATCTCTTCCCCCAAGCTATCACAGCTTTTCAAAATAGTACCATCTATAATATGGCACCATGTTTTTATTTTCCTCCATCATTTTATTTTTTTATGCACACTCATAACATTATCTTGTATAACTTGCTTATGGCTCACTCCTTCTTGAGTATCGTGGATAGAATAATTAGAATGCCATCATGAATTAATGAAGCCCTCCCTATTTTTCTCCTTCATCCTCAAGGTCTCCACATCATGCGTTTTATCTTTGACGATGTGTTTTTAAGACCCTTTTATGTGCGTATGGTCTACATGGTTTAAAGGCCGTTATTGTGCAAAGATCATTTCGTATTTGAATTTTTGAACTGATTTTTTTCACTGACCTACATAAAAACAAGTGTTAAAATTTACATCGGTTTGATTCCGGTTCAAGGATCAGTATTTGAATATCATTTTAAATGGCTTATGGAAAATATCCCAGCAGCGTTAGACTTGTCCAAATACTTCTTCCAACAATTTTCTTTCTTTGTGGGCATTTCAGTGCCACTCTTATTCCTCTTAAAACATGTTGACAGCAGTTTGTTGAAGGTGGGGATTTGAGATCTGACAAGACAAAGGAGTCTTAGCAATGTGCAAAGGCTGAAAAACCTTCAAAACTGTCCCAAAATTGCACTCTTTTCCTCTGAAACGGTCTCTGTAAGAACATCTAGATCGTCTTGCATCACACACTTAAAATCTCTCCAGAAGTCTCAAGTCTTAAATATCTGCAAAACCTGTCGTCTTACTTTTATCCTGTCAAAAAATAAATTGCTTTTGTTGATTGTTGGTTTGAAGTCGCAGAAGCACTCTGAAGTAATATTATCGTGTGTGTGTGTGTGTCTGTTTGCATTGCAGAATTGCTATATTGGAGATTGGAAGCCTTCGGATATCTAATGTCACCAAATCGGACGCTGGCACGTACACGTGTGTTGCCCGTAACCAGTTTGGCGAGGCCAGCAGCTCAGGGAACATGCTTGTTAAAGGTATTTGCTTCAATTCAGTCATTTTGGAGTCTCTGATGATAATATAGCATCTTCTGCTGTATATTTATTGGATATTTGGTTTTATACAGGACATTCTGCATCATACATCCACTTCACATCTGTTTTATAGCTAAGTAGTATATACCTTCCAAAGCTATCTGATCTTAGCCAAGTGGAATCCTTTTATTTCCTAATGAGATGAAGGAGAGCAGTGTCAGAACAGCAGCACGGGGAACCTGGTGTAACGCCCCTGTGGACTGTTTATTGTGGTTTCTTCCCCTTTTGTTGGTTTAGCCCGTTCAATCATTAGTTAATTATCCTCAGTGTGCTCTCATCCCTCTGTTTCTACGGTGCGAGGACACACCTTCCGGGAGTGGGGAGTAATGTAACGCCCCTGTGGACTGTTTATTGTGGTTTCTTCCCCTTTTGTTGGTTTAGCCCGTTCAATCATTAGTTAATTATCCTCAGTGTGCTCACCTGTCTGCCCCTCGTTATCTGCCCTATAAGTTCCTGTCTCTTGTATTCTAGTATTGTCGGTTATTGTGAATGTTACCCTGAGTGTGTGTGTGTCTCATCTACCCGTATCTGCCTTGTTGTCTCTACATTAAACATCCTTATTTGAATCCTTGTCGTCCTCGTCATCCTGCCTGCCTCCACACACCTTGACCGTGACACCTGGAGGGACCCAGATCACACTTGTGTTGAGTCACTGGAGCAGTGAGTTATTATGCTGTATTAAATATGAATGAGAGGTGGGTGTGCACTGCCGAGCATGTTCACTTAAGAGTGTTCTAAGGCTGGGGGGATTTTCAGGATGTAAGCACAACTCAGTGGAGGTCTCCATACCCTCTGCAACATGTGTGTTTTACCTCCCTCATCGCTCTCTTTCTTCCTCTTTCCTTTGAGCAATATGTGGGGGCGGATTCGTTTTCTAAACAGCATTTGAGTTACAGTTAATAAGACAGGATGACTCTGATTCCATGTAGGGATTCGGATGGAATTGGGGTCTGTAATGATGGGTTTTGTGAGAATTGCAAGGTTGTGTCAGAATTGAAATTTTCTGGCGTCAAATTGAATTTAGGCGTCAAACAGGATGCATACTTGCAATTCGAATTTGAATTAAAACTATATAAAATTAAAACTAGTGTTGTCAAACGATTAATCACATCCAAAATAAACGTTTGTGTTTACATTTTATATGTGAGTGTACTGTGTATATTTATTATATATTAATGCACACACATCCATGCATAGATTTAAGAAAAATGTTATATATAAAATATTGTAATTCAAATTCTAATTCAACTTTCCATGGGGTTTTGCCAATTCATTTCCAACTTATTAAGAGACTAATTCTTCAGTTCTGAATTTTGCGCAACCCTGAAGATGGGAGTGTCTGGGCATTGCAGAAGGTTGTAAACCCACCGAAATAAATCACATATGTGATTAATTGTAACCTTATGCTTTAAGGGAAGGAATTAATTAAGGCCGTTTTGATCAGTCCGGACTCTCCTTTTTGATTTAATTCTGTTTTTAAATTGGATGGGATGCGAGCCGTACGTGAACCACCAACTGTTAGTTGCTCAGAAAGTTGGCAAAAATTCATAATGAAGGTGAAGCAGACAGCACAACGACAAATTTAGCTTTAGTTACAGTATTTGGCGAAGGTCAAAATAAATGAGGAGAAGGGCTGTGAAAAAATAATATACCAAAATCACAGATATTTCTATGTGGTCAGGATTAGATTTTTCAGAGGTCGCCCAAGGTGGCTGAAGAACAGCGGCTAATTTGCTCTGTAATTTTTACTGAGGGATAAATCAAAAGTGCAACTGTGAAACACGATTTTACCTAAACTCCTCAGGGAAAATTCCTTTTGTCCTAATAGTGCTTTTTCTTCATATTATAGTTTATTTATTTAAGATAAGTAGCATTCTGGCCACCACCCCGTATCATTTTATCTTTACAGATCATACACAAAAATAATTAGACTCCTTACTGATGCACAACCCAGTCTTTTCATGCACATCTATCAGAAGCACTAAGTTTTCCAACTTAACCAACATTCAGGAGGTTCATTTTAATGTGATCCTGCAGAAAGCAAAGTTACGGGTCTATAAAAACCTCTGCATTTAAAGTTCTTTTAAAAGTGAACAATTTCTCAAACCGCAGGGTTTCTTGTGCCTTAAGTGTGCCGTTTTAGTCTGCTTTATTAACCTTTGTCAACCATTGAAACCCTAAATCATTGCATGTCAAGGGGAGATCCATCAAAAACTCAATAAATATTGAATCCCCTTCATTTTATATTCGTATATATTATGTTATCAAGATATTGACATGACGCAGGGCAAAATGGTGTGAGTAAATGGCATTTTTAGATAGATGGACTGGGTCAAAGGACCTTAAACACGATTGATAGATAGATTAATTGACGCTGGGCGCTTTTCACTTGCCAAACATGTCAACTGAAGTGATACGCCACTGGCAGCTGTATGTCAACCTCCATTTTATCTCCATCAGTGTGTCAGATGGGTATACACATGCTGCATCAGCAAAGAAAATCCATAATTATACCATACAGTCAAAACTACTGGTGACAACTTTTGAGGGAAGCAGAAACCTTGTGTTCTGCAAAAACACAATCTCATTAGTATTTGTATTTGTTTGTACACATATAAATGTAATCAAATTGGTACTGTATAGATAGCTTCTAAAATGTCTATTATTATATGTGAACTTTATAGACAATTTAATTCATTTTAAGCTTGTTCACCTGCTTGGACCTGCTTTATTCTTCTCTGTAAAAATAAATTGGAAAATTTATTTAAATTAATAAATGGAAATGTATTTAGAGTAAAACATATGTGTATGTATATATATATATATATTTTTTTTTTTTTTTTTTTTTTTTTTTTATTTT